GATAATTTGTGCGGTTCAGTGACTACCATGTGGCAGCCGATAGTGGCTAACAGCATTCTTGACACTACACGGCAAGCATATAGTAAACTAAATTTCCTACGATCTTTCAGTTCTTTCTATATAAAATACAAAACTACTATTAACATAAATATAGTAAAAATGGTAACGGTCTGCTCATCAATTGCCGCGTACTAGTGTTTAGTGAAATCGACATATAATCTTAATACTATAACTACCGGCTTCATTTTATGTTATGCAAGCGATTTTTTAAAACAACAGGAGGTAATCCGAATAACACTACTGCAAATAATGTACATAGCATCTACTCTCTGAATTTATTAACACTTTACAACATAATATATAAGTGACAAATAAGTTAAAAACGTTACAAGGTCATAAAGATAAGACTATAAGAGTATTGTAAGTATAGGTAATAGCATGGTTTCGAGTGCAATTTGGATATAACATGCACGAGTGAGTTTTTCAAAGACCTCAAAATAGCACGAATCCGAAGGATGAGTGCTATTTGAGGTCTTTGAAAAACTCACGAGTGCAGGTTTATCCAAATTTCACGAGAAACCATGCTTTTACTTATCAATAATTTAACTTATCAATAAATAATTTTCCTGGCTGTGTTATATCACATTATACAACGCTAACAGCTTGAAAATTCCACTCAGCTAGGTAATTTTTGTTAGTCTTGTTTAAGGTAAATGCTTTTCCATTTAAAAATAAAGATAAAAGCCATATTTTCCATGCGAAGGCAACTTTTACTTTGTGTAGCGCGGTGCCAATGTTTGTTTTGTTTTGAAGCAATCTGTGACCGTTACTCAGTTCTTTAAACTAAATTGCTTTAAACTGATTGGTTGATTTAATCATCACAATGTTTTTCCACCAATCAGATCAGTTTGTTACAGATTTTTGCACTGTGATTACAGAAAATTGCACTGTGATTACAAAAAATTGCACTGTGATTACAGAAAATTGCACTGTGATTACAGAAAATTGCACTGTGATTACAGAAAATTGCACTGTGATTACAAAAAATTGCACTGTGATTACAGAAAATTGCACTGTGATTACAGAAAATTGCACTGCTGTTTGGGATTAACTGTACTGAAATCAACCAATCACAGCCGAGAAATATCTTTATGTATATTATTAACACTATACTGGTGCTGGTATAATTACAATATGACTACTTAAGGAGGCTCCCTGCGGTAGCATGCCGGATGTTCGCGGGACCAGTACGTGGACTATCCCCACGCAACTACACTACAGTATACCAAAACAAAACAATAAATTGACTGGGCTTTTTTGAAAACAAATGCTATTTCTGAAAGGTTTCTGATGGAAAAAAGCGTTGAATAATCCTTCGCTTTGAGTGCCAAATCAATTGAGTGCCAAAAATAAATTTGAGAAATTTTTGCTAAAATTTGAGTGCCAAATCAATCAATCAAACTCGGCCTCGTTGTCTATAATTGTTAAATATTATAAAACAATTATACCATTCGCTCTCGTCGTATATGGCTGATAGCCGACTCTGTGCTACGCACCTCGTCGGCTATCAGCTCATATACGACTCGAGCTCATGGTATAATTGTTAATTAGTATAAACCTACCAGTGGACTATCATGTTTCGTGCGTTCTGATTGGCTACGCCACTAGTAGGCTATTAGTGATTGCCTACTAGTAGCAACAACCGTCGAAGGGCGCGAGAGTCAATTGTCGTTTTTAAGTATTGAAAGCTGCATTTAAAGGGAAAAGCTTATCAAAATGGCCTAATTTTGGTTCTGGATTACACACCAACAAAGACTCTTGGAAGCTGCTGACACAAGCGGTAAAATTTTTACGTTTTCCCAACTCTGCTCGTAGTTTTGAACATGAAAGTTACAGGCGATTTTTAAAATATATGCACATTGTTTGTTAATATTTCAAGCAGAATCGTTGAAATTCAAAATTAGTTTGTACTAGCTACTTACCCCCATTTTTCAACCTCTTTAGTGTGTGCGTATTTTAAGTACGAGTTCATGTACTTAGCTCTTATTTTAAAGAGGTTTTTTCCGTTTAATTTAAATATCGACATTTTGGCCGAGTTTGTTTTCACCTTTTTTTGAGCGGTTTTAATCGAGTTTTTCGATTAAATTTTAATCCTAACTTTTGTCTATATATATTAGATGGCGGAAATGGTTTGCCTCTTTATTTTTCCAGATATTTTAAAGATTTCAACGACATTCGGACTCTTTTGCGTGCATTTTATTCTGGTTTTTAACGTAAACTTTATTTTGTAATAATTCGGGAAGCCATTTTGTTTTCGAAATTTTGGACTTTTTAAGCCTTGTTTCCTTTTTTTAAATAAGTTTTAATTAACCAGACTTTGCTTCTATAACGGGTCTCTTACTATTATACTGTTTTACGACATGCTTTTTTAACTTTTTTTAAACTCATTAGTTGTATTTTTCAAGTCATTTTTGAGAGTTCGCAACACTGAGTAGTTGTCAACAAGGCGGAGGCGAAATGTCTCCAAAGGGATTAAGGAAACCATTTAAACGCTCATTTCGTTAAAACGTTATTGTTTTACATAAAAATCAAGTGAAAAATTCCGTTTTCGTTATGTGGGAGGTATCTGATAGGTTGCAGTTAACGGGGGCGTACCCCAAGGTAGCAGATTAGGCCCGGTTGTATTTATTGGCCCGGTTGTATTTATTGGATTAGGCTTGCCCTCAGCACTGGCGAAACGTGAGAGAACCTTTGATAATGAGGTGTCTGAAGGTGATGATGATGGCGTAACATGAATATTCATGGACGACACAACAATCTCTGAAATTATAGATGTAAAAAACCATATACCAGCCAATGTCATTGGTAATGCTGAAAGAAATATGTCAGAAGTTATGAAGTTTACAAAACAACAAAAAATGGAACTTAACCTTAAAAAATGCAAGGAAATGTTGATTGATTTAAGAAGAAACAAAACGGCTATACCATTAACTGAAATAGAGAATAAGATAATTGAAAGGGTTAATTCGTATAAGGTACTGGGGCTCTGGATCGACGACAATTTGAAGTGGAATACAAACACGGAGAAGATAATAAAAAAAGCTGCGAAGCGTCTATTTCTTTTGAAAATAATAAAATCGTATAGTGCAAGTACGGATGATATGAAAAGATTTTACGTCGCAGTAATTAGACCAACGCTCGAATATGGGGCTCAGGTCTGGAATGGCGGAATTATGAAGGACCAAAGTAATGAAATCGAACGAATCCAAAAACGAGCGCTGAAAATAATTTATAAGGAAGATGATTACGATAAAGTTTTACGTATAGCAAAAATAGAAAGTTTGGAGAAACGACGCGATCGAATGTGCATTGAATTAATCAAAGAAATGTCGAAGCCTAACCATAAATTACACAATTTATTACCAAGAAAATCTGTGAAGTCAGGAAGAGGACAACGAGGCTGAACAATCAAATGTACTATAATTTTATGGGTAGCCCAATCAGCTATGCTGTTGGCAAGTACAATGAAACATTGTTTGGGTAGTACATAACAATTTAGCTTTTAATGCTATTATATTTGTGCAAATTTTCTAATAATAATAAAAATAATAATAATAATAAATGTTAGCAGATAATTAACACTGAAGTTATTTGAAGGTGGGTATTTTCCATAGTTGACTGCAAGCCAATAAAAAAACACGCAAAGACTATATATTGATAAACAGTTATTGGATGAGGTTTTTGTCATATCCACAATTATAAAGATCGAGGTAAGTATATCAGTCGACCCGAATGGGCCCCTAATTTAGATAGCAATCGATATCAGCAATTTTAAGTGCACGAATAAAAACATGCAGGAAAAACAACATGAACGCCAATGGCGCTTTTATTATTTTTTTATGCAAAAAGCAGACCTTTCTAACATTTCTATCGGAAGAAACTTAGCAAAGTAAATTAGTTTTCTAATATTATTTCCAAGCTGTTATTGTGATATGTTTTAAGTCGTTTTCACTGCTTTGTTTGAGAACCATGGCCGCAAACATTGTTTCGTGCCACAAACAATGATTCGGGGACGTGACAATTCTGAGGTTGGCCCTCAGAAATTGAAAGTTGGGTATCTGAAACAGCATTTCCTGGATTTTGGAGGCATTGGAGAAAATATTTTATAATAACTCACTGTTTAACAGTGTCAAACAATTATTGGTACAGTTTATTAGTTCAAGTGGATACATATAGTCACGTACATAGTAACATAGAGCTTTACATTGGGACAAAGTGTAGCAGATTTTATGACTAGAATGGTCTGGTAAACTCATAACAACCTTCTGCTAAAAATATGTTTTCTTGTTCTAGCATAATGAACAATTAATATGTCTCTCTATATAATGAGGTTGCTTGTGTGATGTTACTCTGAGTGTATATCCACATCGGGCAGGCCTGAAAAATATGCCTGGCCACGGTTGGATTCGAACCTACGACCTTTGCAATAATAGCCCAATGCTCTGCCAACTGAGCTACGCGGTCAGGTCGGTTCGAGTATGCGATATTTCGGAACTGAGTCTAGTTCCTTCGATATCAGTGTAATCTAATATTCATGATATTTGCTGTGTTGGTGTAATGTACTCAGGTGAATAAGATGCTTGTGTGATGTTACTCTGAGTGTAATGTTCGAATCCCACCGTGGCCAGGCATATTTTTTAGGCCTGCCCGGTAAGGATATACACTCAGAGTAACATCAAACAAGCATCTTATTCACCTGTGTACATTACACCAATACAGCAAATATAATGAGGTTGTTTCTTGGTGAATTATAGGTTGGCGAACATGTCTTCGTCAGAAAATGGTGAGGAACCAATTACACCTCGTTCGTCTGAGTACGGAACATGTCAAGGAGCCAAAAGAGATACCGTCTCCTGCATACAGGTATAAAGTTATTACATTACGTGTCCGTCAATACCATATAAAACACAGACTTTTTTGCAAATACCTTGCATGTGTTATATATATGCTAACTTATGCATGCTAGTAGCAAATAACCACTCTTAATTAATAATGAATAACCTTCTGTGACGACTTAGGTCCGTCAATGCCGAAAGTACTGGTTATATCCTCATTTACGCCCACACAATATATAGGTTAGGGAGCCTGAAATAATTGCTTAATTAAAGAACAGATTCAAACTAGTTCCTTTTGCTGAAAATTCACCTGTTCCTGAGCTATGATTACTGGAATACGATTGATTCCTCCCGAGAGCAAGCTAGAAAAGCAGTCGTGGCGAAGACATCGATTTGACTTGACTTGGGGAAACTTTCTTTTAGAAAAGATAATTGATCACACATTGCTCGTGTGAAAGATCGTTCTCGAAATTGAAGTTAGCTAAGACAAAACAAAGGCTATAAGATCCTCGTTAATGTAAGAAAACATTGTGTCATTCATTATGCTTGAATCATTCATTGCCCTACAATTTACATTTTTCACCTGGTTTTGTACATTCTTCATGTAGCAGAGCTGCATATTTGTTATCATCGATCGTCTCTACCCTACCTACTGCATGTACTGGCAGCAACCGCCCAATTAAGTTCAAGAATTGTAGTGGCAAAACGGACGTTTCAGATGTGATCATTATAAACGCAATTCGTTAAAAACTTTTTACAAACTATAAACTAAACTTACAACTACTGAATACTAAATATTTATACACGCAAGCATGCGTGAGGATTCGCGAGGATTTTATTCTAAGCGGTACAGGGCACCTCATGACAAAAAGTTGAAAACTGCCTACACTGTATATATGTTTCTATTAAGTAAACGTGAAGTTTGATATCTTTTTAATGCAGAATGAAGTAATTTGTGCAACTTTTGTGGGACAAGTTGACGCAACCCAAAGTTATTATGAAAGAAACAGCCTTGATGTAAGTTAGACCAGCAACGAATTGTTATATCGCAAGATAAATAAATGTAATTCGGAAATTATTGAAAAACCAAAGCATGCTTGCCGAAATAGTTCAAAATTCTGCGAAGTCACATTTCCATTTCTTGTGCATGTCCGGTTATTACTGGGGACATTTTTTTTGCGTTCCCATCATGCACTACACTCCTCAGCCCATTGGTCTATATATGTACTTATTTACGACTAAGTACGAGTCAGAAATTATAGTATGCAAGTTGCTATGAAGCTATCAACATATTTTTCGCTACATTAGATATGTTTCGATACACATACGATCCCTGTCCAACATGGTGCATTTGCAGCTGAAGAACTTGAATCATCTACAGACACAGCTTCAGCAAATGAATCACCAGATGTGAAGAAAGGTTTGGCACAAGTCGAGGGTAAGGTAATGTGTCAGAGCAATAGTGTTAAACCTTATCTGACTAATGAAAACTTTAAAATCTTTTTCTGGATTTATTTTATGAACATTTGGCAGGGGTTTTAAATTAAGAAACGCGTTTTCTTCGGTTCACCTTGGTTATAGAGCCATGGTTATAGTATTATTCGGTTCACCTTGGTTATAAAGCCTTGGTTATAGTGAGTATTCATTTGATAATAATATTATCAGATGAATACTTAAGGCTATGGAGATATTATTGACAATTCCCATTAATAAAGACTAATTTTAAAATTAGGCAAGGAAATGGAAATAAATCACCACAGCTAGAAAGAGCATACTAAACTCAGTAAAATTGAAACGTTTAGTTGCGAAGTGTTGTAAAATGCGGCAAAGTTTGCAAATTTTGTTTGCTTTTGTATTGGGGCGGAAATTGCCCAAATATATGATAGCAATTTCCGCACGCAATACAAGGGCTATATTTTTTGAGTACGCTCTTTCTAGCTCATTGGCTAGTTTTAAAATTGGTCTATACTGGGAATTGTCTATTGCTTTTATGAATGTTTTGAGATTTGCAAACGTGGACGCGTGAGGTTTTTGTACGCGAGGAATATAAAAATAAGATTTGTAGTTTCAAGAGATGTTTTGTAAAACAATTTCCATTTTAGAAGTTAAAAATGTTCGACAGATTAAGAGGACGTTTTGGAAAAAAGGTACGAGTAGCCAAGCGAATATTATTTTAATCGAGTGATTAGCTTATCCTTGATGTGATTTTGTGGTAATCCAACAAAATAAAATTGAAGCAGGTATACAATAACACATATAAAGAGATCAAAACGTCACGTATACCTAACGAGGTATGGTTTATTTTATGAATTTATATTTAACATGAGTATGACACAGTAAGGCATCCTCAAACAACTTAAATAAACCAAAAGTAGCTAAAAACCGACTACGTATGCTTTTTACTGATTTTTTTATCATGCGTTCCAGTTTTACTGGTGTTGTGATTACGTATTTTCCAAATAAAGAAAAGTTTTGTTAAAAATATTTTAAAACACAAAAATATCGCTCTTTAGATTCTCGCACAGTTGTCGTATCCGATTTGCATATTCAGCTTGCATATAGGATACTAATTATAATCATGACATGCATGCCGATTTTGTGAACGAAGATACGTTTCCACCATCATTCAACATATTTGTGAAAAAATAACAGAAGACAATGCTCTGCAACAACAAGAGTTGGTCACATTTGGTGGCATTGGACAAAGATAATTATTCAGCTACATAACACAATGGGTTAAATAATGCATTAGTGCGCCCGCCTTGCATTGTCCATGAATTAAAATAACTATAATGAGAGCAGAGCCCATGTAAAATCGCAAAATATCTGAAACAGGCTTTACTATTGATATTTTGGACGTGAGCTCTTTTCCCACGAATATAACAATATATAACAAATTAAACTATTTCTGTATCGAAAGTAGTTCATAAGTTCCTTCGTTCGTTATTTCGTTTAACCCTTGTAAATCCAAGGAATTGATAAAATTCCTGCCAAAAGAATTCGAATTGCATCTCCTGTAATTGTTAAATCGATAACGGAAATTTTTAATGGGGCAATTCTCTCCGAAGTTGTTCCATCTGAATGGAAATCAACTAGGGTAATTCCTTTACATAAAAAAGGTCCCACGAATATGTTAAATAATTATCGCCAAATTTCTATTTTGCTTGTTGTACGTAAAATTTTCGATTTTCAAATGAAAAAAAAATACTTGGCAAAGCTTGTACTCTCGCATGCGCATAACGTCGAAAACCGTCCATGACATAAACAAAATGGAGGACAACTTTGCACTTCGCTATGTATTCACATACCAGGGTATAATATACACAAGTCCACCTAATTATTAATAAAACATACATAAATTACATGCGTAATGTGCTATGGATAATAGGTCATGCTAAATTAGACATAGTTAAAAATCTATTAAAAAAATTAGATAAGAGTTAAGTAAGAATTAAGTAATCTAGATGTTAAGAATATGGCCCACACAACCGTTCATAATCTTGTCCGTATATTTATGAATTTCAAAGGCTTCGAAGATTTTTCGTTCATGTTCGTATCTGATATTTTTGTGGAGAATTTTCCAGCTAATTGATGGGACAGTACGTGGGTCAATGTTATGGGTTTTAAGATGGATGAAAACCGTTGCAGGTATCACAATCTATTGTACAGCTTAGCTTGTCTTTCTTCGGGCCGTATATATTAGATATTGGTTGTCCGTTCATGAAGTGGATTCTTATATTTTCTATTCCAGTTCTTCGTATAGTGGCTAGGGCACGGCGCTTGAATACCTCATCAATATAAGGTAATTTGAGATAGATACATCCTCCTGATTGTCACGTTGTGGTTCGGTAAGCAATGTTTGTTGTATTACTGATCTTACAAATTGTTTGGGGTATCCATTACTCGTAAATATAGAGGTTATTTTACGTAATGATTTGTTTCTTTCGGTGGAGTCTGTCGCCCGTGAAATTGCTCTCCTTACTTCTCCTATGAGTACAGATCTTTTGGAGGCTACTCCACCAGGTAACATCACAATTACTCAAACCGACAAATCTAAACGATTAGTTGCTCTAGATAATGCTACTTATAGTGAAATGATTACTAAAAACTACAATAGATACAGGAAACTATCAACCATCGAAAAAACTTAATCAACCCAGAACTGGACAGATCAATTTTAATAAACAATTGAACATAATTATCAAGAAAAATGAGCAGGAACACCCTGAAGTATATGTCCACCTCAAATCCCACATTTGTTGCGAGTCCCTACCATGTCCCGTATACTGTTTACCCAAAGATCACAAACAAGGGGTACTGAGAGGTAGACCTATACATGCAGCTATTGACACACCAGCAACGTCCCTCTCAAAACGTATAGCTAAATCCCTTGCTTAAATATGTGCCAGCACACTTACAGAATACAGACGCATTTATAAACTCATTATCGGACATTGACTATGAAATTAAAGGGTTTTGCAGCCTTGATGCATGTAATTTATATGGATCGATTCCCCTTGAGGACATCAGTATTAATACTCCTGGCATTTTTACTGTAGCCAAACTTTTCTTTAATAAGTACAAAGCCGAAAGTATATTATCGCCACTAAGTGACAAAGATTTTGAAGCATTGCTGCGACTGTGCCTTACCAGTGATACTATTTTGATCGATGGCAAACGAAATAAGCAAAGGTCCGGACTAGCTATGGGAAACAATCTTGCACCAGTCCAGGCAATTATATACATGAACGAACTTGATGCCCAAATTATCCAATCTACCAATGGTCATTTGTTTCTAAAGTGACTAATTGATGATATCTTTCTTGCATGGACATCTGAATCAGTAACTGGCGAAATGCTGTTGTCTATGGCCAACAATCTAAATGATGCCATAAAGTTCACTATTGAATCTCCATTAACAATCAATTGCCATACCTAGATACCTTAGTTTCCTTCAACGCCACTACCAACAAATTTTCTACCTCATTATATGTAAAACCCATCCACAGCACATGTATTATACCCCATGGGACAGTCACGGATCGATAGCCTCCAAAAGATCTGTACTCATAGGAGAGGTAAGGAGAGCAATTTCACGGTCGACAGACTCCACCGAAAGAAACAAATCATTACGTAAAGTAACCGCAATATTTACGAGTAATGGATACCCCAAACAATTTGTAAGATCAGTAATACAACAAACATTGCATACCGAACTACAACGTGACAATCAGGAGGGACGTATCTATCTCAAATTACCTTATATTGATGAGGTATTCAAGCGCCGTGCCCTAGCCACTATACGAAGAACTGATATCTAAAATATACGCCCAGAGGAAAGACAAGCTAAGCCGTACAATAGATTGTGATACCTGCAAACTCTCAGAGAAAACAAATCAGTGTCACATCAAGAATACGGTCTATCTCACAAATTGCCTACAACGTCAGAAAGTTTATGTTGGTGAGACAAGTAGAACAATACGAACACGCATAAAGGCCGGCGCACACTAGAGCTACAATCTTTGCCAGAAACTATGGGACAGCTGCTGTAATTTCATATATTTTGAAAGGAATAGCGCCCCCCGTTCCCCCAGTTCAATGTTGGGCCAACAAAAATCTGATGTCTGGAAGCGCGGCGCCAACATTGAAACGGGTGGGGGGAGGGAGGGTAGAAAATATGTATCACCAAATGGTATATTACAACCGAATGCATGTGAAAACTAGATTGTCCCAATCTATATTGTCAAAGATTGTCTGTTGAAGTAATACCATTACTCTTAAATTTAACTTAATTCAACTTGTACACATCATCAAGCTGTGTACGCAGTCAATTTTCATAAGTTCTTCACACCTTTTAGGTCCTTTAGCAATTTCGTTGCACACAGATAATTTGCGTGTACTGTGTTATACAATGCTTCCGTATGCGTGTGTTAGGAAATAGCTAAAATCCGGCTGAATTACATCGCATATATTTAAAATCAGATTTAAAGGCTTGTAGTGGTACATTTTAGTCACAATTCATTGAATTCCATGCATGGTAACAGTATTGGAACTCTATTTAAAGAAAATTGACAACTGAGCGAACTTGTTAGTAAACTAAGCGCGTATATGTGACAATGAGCTCGAGTTCCGTATAGAAACGAAGCTCATCACGAATCTCACCATATTTTGATGGGCTCACACGCCATAAAAGCCTTAATAGCAGACAATATCAAACAAATTCACCTTAGGCATCTAAAGTCCAGCATATTTTACAAGATAGGACGATTTTACAAGTTTTCGTAACGAACTGACTAAGATACGAATGATTTTCTAGCAACGATTCTCACTTTCTGTCATAAAATAGCCGATGAGATATAGATTTATTTACAGTTTTGTAGTGAGCTTCGTTCAAAAACGAACTTAAAAAGGGATATCTGCAAAGTTAACCGATTGTAATTAAGGAAAATGGTTTCTTGTACCCATATGCATATAAAATGTAAGATAAGTAAAATTTATAGTAACGCAAATCAGCGTTTTAGACCGAGATTCGTTAGTGAGCATCGTGTAATATGAGACGTATGAAATTTGACTACTGACTGCGTTATGAACTGTGCTATAAATCTTATACTGCAAACGTAATTTGGCTTGCAAATGGCCCCAGTTCTCAAGTATAAGTTTGTAAAAGGCGAAAACAATGCATATTTATTTGTCTTTCCCCGCAGTTTGATATGTTGTGAGATGAGATTTAAACCTACTCGACTCACAAACAGATTATTTCTGAATAGTTCGGTTCCAGGTTCATCGTAATTATGGCCCTTTGCATCATTCCAAAGACAGCATGTAACTTTTGAGTAAATTCCCGCGGATTTTTCACAAGGAAGATAGCGATGATGATATTAGACGTGAATATAAATGTGCTTATTAAGTATTATAGCTAGTAGCACACGTACCTGTATTGGTATATACAGTGTTAAACATACCCCCTCCCCCCCGAATAAATGGATAGTATCTAAAACTACCAAAACTTTGCCCACATATGCTTTGCTACTGGAATATATGTTATTCGGCAGTATAAACTTAGAACTAAAACGTTTAATTACCAACTTCCAAACACCATTGATCACCACCAAGACAATCTTTGCCAGAAACTATGGGACAGCTGCTG